GAGATCCCCAGCAACAAAATTCCCCCAACACAATAGAACCCCCAGCAACAATGGACACCACAGAAAAAAAGAGATCCCCAGCAACAAAATACCCCCAACACAATAGACCCCCCAGCAACAAGCTCATGCTTTCTATTGATTGGAGAACTCTAGCTCTGACTCAACAAGGGGGCGTGTCAATCCTCAGCAGAGAGACCACTGCTTTCACACAGAGAGCAAGGCTCCTTCTCTGCTGGCCGGGGACAGGCTTTTTTTTATACAGGCTGCGGCTACCTTCCGAAGAAGCGAGCGGTAAGAATCGTTCGATGCACCCGTAGCGGGTTTCGCTGATTGAGCCAGAAAGCTAAATTGGGCTTTAAAGTCATTAGCACTGAGCTGCGGACAGCGTGCTGCGGGGAGTGAGCGGGTTTGAATCTTCTTTTCGGTGTCGTCCTTATAGCCTGACAAGTGAGAGCAACACAAATCGTTCTGCTGAATCCATACAAAACCTAATTAAAGGAATATGTCTCCTCTGCCTTTCTGGGTGATTCTCTAAGCAGCACTTTGTTCTCGCTGCAAAGAACAGCAATCATAGAATTTGTGTCAGGACTCCTTCAGATTATCACATCTCCTTTGTTTCTTCCTGTCAATTCTGGTGATTGAGATATGGAGAAGTCGGAGAGCTGGTGTCATCATTCCCCTCTGTGCAAGAAAAGTGTGAATTCTGGAAGTACACGGCGCACAAATATTAAAGGAACACTTTGAAAACCCATCAGATCTCAATGGGGAGGAATCTCCTGCTGGATCTCTATACTGACATGGACGGGGGATGGGTGAGGAACGTAAGGATGCCCCATTGTTTGATGGAAATGAAAATGATCGACCTACAGAGGACTGAATTCACAGACACCCCGAAAATCAAAGTGAAAAAAATTATGCAGCAGGTGAGTCCATGTAGGTGAAATGTTCTTGCAGCAACTCAGAATGGTCCTCAGTAGTTTGTGTGGCCCCCACGTGCTTGTATGTATGCCTGACAACATCGGGGGGAGGCTCCTAATGAGACCACGGATGGTGTCCTGGGGGATTTCCTCCCAGATCTGGACCAGGACATCACTGAGCTCCTGGACAGTCTGAGGTGCAACCTGGCGGCGTCGGATGGACTGAACATGACATACCAGAGGGGTTCCATTGGATTTAGGTCAGGTGAGTGTGGGGGCCATTCAGTGGTATCAATTCCTTCATCCTCCAGGAACTGCCTGCATACTCTCCCCACATGAGGCCGGGCATTGTCCTGCACCAGAAGGAACCCAGGACCCACTGCACCAGGAGGAACCCAGGACCCACTGCACCAGGAGGGACCCGGGACCCACTGCACCAGGAGGAACCCAGGACCCACTGCACCAGGAGGAACCCGGGACCCACTGCACCAGGAGGGACCCGGGACCCACTGCACCAGGAGGGACCCGGGACCCACTGCACCAGGAGGGACCCGGGACCCACTGCACCAGGAGGAATCCAGGACCCATTGCACCAGGAAAGACCCGGGACCTCCTGCACCAGGAGGAACCCAGGACCCACTGCACCAAGAGGAACCCAGGATCCACTGCACCAGGAGTAACCAGGGACCCACTGCACCATTAGTAACCCGGGACCCACTGCACCAGGAGGAACCCAGGACCCACTGCACCAGCAGGAACTCAGGACCCTCTGCACCAGGAGGAACCCAGGACCCATTGCACCAGGAGGAACCCAAGACCCAATGCAACAGGAGGAACCCAGGACCCACTGCACCAGGAGGAACCCAGGACCCACTGCACCAGCGTAGGGTCTGACAATAGGTCCAAGGATTTTATCCCGATACCTAATGGCAGTCAGGGTGCCTAATTGTCTAGCCTGTAGAGGTCTGTGCGTCCCTCCATGGATATGCCCCCCCAGACCATCACTGACCCACCACAAGAACGGTCATGCTGAACCATGTTACAGGCAGCAGAATGTTCTCCACGGCTTCTCCAGACCCTTTCATGTCTGTCACATGTGCTCAGGGTGAACCTGCTCTCATCTGTGAAAAGCACAGGGTGCCAGTGGTGGACCTGCCAATTCTGGTGTTCAATGGCAAATGCCAATCGAGATCTATTGTGCTGGGCAGTGAGCACAGGGTCCACTAGAGGACGTCGGGCCCTCAGGCCACCCTCATGAAGTCTGTTTCTGATTGTTTGGTCAGAGACATTCACACCAGTGGCCTGCTGGAGGTCATTTTGTAGGGCTCTGGCAGGGCTCATCCTGTTCCTCCTTGCACAAAGGAGCAGATACCGGTCCTGCTGATGGGTTAAGGACCTTCTACAGCCTTGTCCAGCTCTCCTAGAGGAACTGCCTGTCTCCTGGAATCTCCTCCATGCTCTTGTCTCCTGGAATCTCCTCCATGCTCTTGTCTCCTGGAATCTCCTCCATGCTCTTGAGACTGTGCTGGGAGACACAGCAAACCTTCTGGCAATGGTACGTATTGATGTGCCATCCTGGAGGAGTTGGACTGCCTGTACAACCTCTGTAGGGTCCAGTATGGCCTCATGCTACCAGCAGTGACACTGACCCGAGCCAAATGCAAAACTAGAGAACAACAGAAAAGATGAGTAGGGAAAAAATGTCAGTGGCCTCCACCTGTAACACTGTTCCTGTTTTGGGGGTCGTCTTATTGTTGCCCATCTAGTGCACCTGTTTTTAATTTCATTAACAACAAAGCAGCTGAAACTGATTACCACCCCCCTCTGCTACTTACCTGACCAGATCCAGGAGTTTCATGGACTTGATCCTACACTTTGGTTAAAAAGTTTTCCTTTCATTTTTTTGAGCGTTGCACATTATATATATTGATCAGCCATAACTTTATGACCGCCCACCTAATATTGAGTAGGTCCCCATTTTGTCACTAAATCAGCCCTGACCCATCAAGGCATGGACTGCACTAGACCTCTGAAGGTGCACTGGGGTATTTGGCACCCAGCCGTCAGTAGCAGATCCTTTAATGTCTGTATATACAGTAAAGCATGCTTGTTATACTCACTGTGGAATCTTAGGGGTTAATCCTCCACGTTGTGTAAAAAGGCTGTTTGATCCTGTCTTCTCTGACCCTCCCCTTCTTCTACTGTCCCCAATCCATCTGCTGATTGTACAGAGCCTTGGGGGCAAGCTGCACATGCTCAGTTTGGTGTGTATTGTTAGAGAGGTTTTTTTTTTTTCTTGGCAGGGTGCATGTTATCGGCACAGGGCCAACCAGCATTGCCCAGACAGAGGGTCAGGGGTTATGCAGCCTCATAGGACAATCAGGGGAGAATGAACACTCCTCCAACAAGATTACCCAGCGCTCTGCTAGACACTGATAGAAGTCACAAGACTGCTATATATACTGCTGATGAGAAAAGGGATTTAGCAGTTTATGTTTACTAAAATAATTGTATTTCCATGTTCTGTGTACTGTGGGAGACCGGATATAGTGAATGTGGGGTCCTGGGAGAGCGGATATAGTGAATGCAGGGTCCGGGGAGACCAGATATAGTGAATGCAGGGTGCGGGGAGAGAGCGGATATAGTGAATGCGGGGTCCGGGGAGAGCGGATATAGTGAATACGGGGTCCGGGGAGAGAGGATATAGTGAATGCAGGGTCCGGGGAGAGCGGATATAGTGAATGCGGGGTCCTGGGAGACCAGATATAGTGAATGCAGGGTCCGGGGAGACCAGATATAGGGAATGCAGGGTGCGGGGAGAGAGCGGATATAGTGAATGCGGGGTCCGGGGAGAGCGGATATAGTGAATGCGGGGTCCGGGGAAAGCGGATATAGTGAATGCAGGGTCCGGGGAGAGCGGATATAGTGAATGCAGGGTCCAGGGAGAGCGGATATAGTGAATGCAGGGTCCGGGGAGAGCGGATATAGTGAACGCGGGGTCCGGGGAGAGCGGATATAGTGAATGCGGGGTCCGTGGAGAGCGGATATAGTGAATGCGGGGTCCGGGGAGAGCGGATATAGTGAATGCGGGGTCCGGGGGAGAGCAGATATGGTGAATGCGGGGTCCGGGGAGAGCGGATATAGTGAATGCGGGGTCCGGGGAGAGCGGATATAGTGAATGCGGGGTCCGGATATAGTGAATGCAGTGTCCGGATATAGTGAATGCGGGGTCCGGGGAGAGCGGATATAGTGAATGCGGGGTCCGGATATAGTGAATGCAGTGTCCGGATATAGTGAATGCGGGGTCCGGGGAGAGCGGATATAGTGAATGCGGGGTCCGGGGAGAGCGGATATAGTGAATACGGGGTCCGGGGAAAGCGGATATAGTGAATGCGGGGTCCGGGGAGAGAGGATATAGTGAATGCGGGGTCCGGGAGACTAGATATAGTGAAATGCGGGGTCCGGGGAAAGCAGATATAGTGAATGCGGGGTCGGGGGAGAGCGGATATAGTGAATGCGGGGTCCGGGAGACTAGATATAGTGAATGCGGGGTCCGGGGGAAAGCAGATATAGTGAATGCGGGGTCCGGGGAAAGCGGATATAGTGAATGTGGGGTCCGGGGAGAGCAGATATAGTGAATGCAGGGTCCTGGGGGAGAGCGGATATAGTGAATGCGGGGTCCGGGGAGAGCAGATATAGTGAATGCAGGGTCCTGGGGGAGAGCGGATATAGAGAATGCGGGGTCCGGGGGAGAGCGGATATAGTGAATGCAGGGTCCGGGGGGGAGAGCGGATATAGTGAACGCGGGGTCCGGGGAGAGCGGATATAGTGAATGCGGGGTCCGGGGAGAGCGGATATAGTGAATGCGGGGTCCGTGGAGAGCGGATATAGTGAATGCGGGGTCCGGGGAGAGCAGATATAGTGAATGCGGGGTCCGGGGAGAGCGGATATGGTGAATGCGGGGTCCGGGGAGAGCGGATATAGTGAATGCGGGGTCCGGGGAGAGCGGATATAGTGAATGCGGGGTCCGGATATAGTGAATGCAGTGTCCGGATATAGTGAATGCGGGGTCCGGGGAGAGCGGATATAGTGAATGCGGGGTCCGGGGAGAGCGGATATAGTGAATACGGGGTCCGGGGAAAGCGGATATAGTGAATGCGGGGTCCGGGGAGAGAGGATATAGTGAATGCGGGGGTCCGGGAGACTAGATATAGTGAATGCGGGGTCCGGGGAAAGCAGGTATAGTGAATGCGGGGTCGGGGGAGAGCGGATATAGTGAATGCGGGGTCCGGAAGACTAGATATAGTGAATACGGGGTCCGGGGAGAGCGGATATAGTGAATGCGGGGTCCGGGGGAAAGCGGATATAGTGAATGTGGGGTCCGGGGAGAGCAGATATAGTGAATGCAGGGTCCTGGGGGAGAGCGGATATAGTGAATGCGGGGTCCGGGGAGAGCGGATATAGTGAATGCAGGGTCTGGGGTTTAGTAACACTTTAAGCCCTGTAAGTTGTGAGGTGGGGCCTCCATGGATTGAAGTCAACAACTCAAACTCATTGTTGTGTTCCTCAACCCATTCTTGAACCATTGTTGCAGTGTGGTGGGGCACTGCCATCAAGGAACACAATTTCTATGAAGGGGTGGACTTGAGCATTTGAAACAGAATTCCCTGTCTCCCAATTTGTGGTCATGTGTTGTCACCCATAGCAAAACCAGCAAATCACATACACAACAGTTTCCTGTTGTTGCGGGATTCTTAATAGAAAGGGATAAAGGGACGGCAGCTTCTTGTCACATGACTTCATGTGACAACCTCTGATCCCTAAAAACCACAGAGAGCTAAGAATGCTTGGCCGGGTCATATATAGGATGATTCTCTAAGTGCAGATTCTGACAAGCAGAGGGCGTCCTACATAACATAAGTAGGAGCGTAAGTTACCGCCACTTGGCAAAGTCAGGCTCCGCCCCTTAGCAAGACTTAATATTTACCTGGAGAGTTCCTTTAAGGTGAAGAAACCTGATTTTCTGCAGAAGAAAAAAAAAACAGACAAGTCGCTATCTTCTCTGGGCCGTCTGTGTTCAGCCCACAATCCGTCACCTCGGAACAGAAAGAATAAAAAGTGTATATAATTTCTACCTATGTACCATATTAAAACTATTTGTGAGAATCATCCCGGCAATCCTGAAATCATTTTTTTCAAATGATACCCCAGGAGTGCGCTTCTCTTCCATTGTTCCGTATACCTATCATCATGCTCAATTAGTTTGGAGGAAAATTGCTTGTAAGTAAAAGGAAATTATATGTTGCAACATTGCAAAGGAAAAAAAGAGAAAAAAAGTATCTTAACATTACTATATATTCTTCATTGTTCAGTGTCAGAGCCCGAGGGGAAAATACTGTTTATACACAATAAGGGATGGATGGATAGATAGAGAGACACAGAGAAAATGACATAGAAAGATAGATAGATAGATAGATAGATAGATAGATAGATAGATAATAGATAGATAGATAGATAGATAGATAGATAGATAGATAGATAGATAGATATTTGAGAGAAGAACAAAGAAAGGAAGAAAATGGTAGATATATTAGGTAAGTAGGAAGGGAAAGAAAAAAAGAGAGAAAGAAAGAGAGAAAGAAAAGAGAGAGAAAGAGAGAGAGAAAGAAAAAGAAAGAAAGAAAAAAGAAAGAAAGAAAGAAAGAAAGAAAGAAAAGAAAGAAAGAAAGATAAAAAGAAAGAAAGAAAGAAAGAAAGAGTGGGAAGAATGTAGGAAGGAAGGAATTGGATTCAGGAATTGAGTCTGGGGCTCAAAATTTCTGTATGAAAAAAGAGAGATGGATGGAGGGAGGGAGGAGAAGAAGAGAAGAGAGTAGGAAATGAAAGAAAGGAAGGAAGGAATATTAGATTATTAAAAAGAAAGAAAGAGAAAATACAAGGAAAGAAGGAAAAGAAAAAGAAAAATAGATAGGGGGTGGAGAGAACAATAAAAGGAAGGAAGGAATTAGTAGATAGATAGATAGATAGATAGATAGATAGATAGATAAATAGATAGATAATAGATAGATAGATAGATAGATAGATAGATAGATAGATAGATAATAGATAGATGGATAGATAGATAGATAGATAGATAGATAGATAGATAGATAATAGATAGATGGATAGATAGATAGATAGATAGATAGAAATAGATAGATAGATAGATAGATAGATAGATATTTGAGAGAAGAACAAAGAAAGGAAGAAAATGGTAGATATATTAGGTAAGTAGGAAGGGAAAGAAAGAAAAAAAAAGAAAGAAAGAAAGAAGAAAGAAAGAAAGAAAAAAAAAGAAAGAAAGAAAGAAAGAAAGAAAAGAAAGAAAGAAAAGAAAGAAAAAAAAAAGAAAAAAGAAAGAAAAAGAAAAGAAAAAAGAAAGAGTGGGAAGAATGTAGGAAGGAAGGAATTGGATTCAGGAATTGAGTCTGGGGCCCAAAATTTCTGTATGAAAAAAAGAGAGATGATGGAGGGAGGAAACGAAGAGAAGAGAGTAGGAAATGAAGAAAGGAAGGAAGGAATATTAGATTATTAAAAAGAAAGAAAGAAAAAATACAAAAAAAAAAAGAAGGAAAAGAAAAAGAAAAATAGATAGGGGATGGAGAGAACAATAAAAGGAAGGAAGGAATTAGTAGATAGATAGATAGATAGATAGATAGATAGATAGATAGAAAGATAATAATAGATAAAGATAGATAGATAGATAGATAGATAGATAGATAATAATAGATAGATAGATAGATAGATAGATAGATAATAGATAGATAGATAATAGATAGATAGATAGATAGATAGATAGATAGATAGATATAGATAGATAAGATAATAGATAGATAGATAGATAGATAGATAATAGATAGATAGATAATAGATAGATAGATAGATAGATAGATAGATAGATAGATAGATAGATAGATAATAGATAGATAGATAATAGATAGATAGATAGATAGATAGATAGATAGATAGATAGATAGATAATAGATAGATAGATAATAGATAGATAGATAGATAGATAGATAGATAGATAGATAGATAGATAGATATGAAGACAAGAGAGGGAAAGGAAGGAAAGCAAGCAAACAAGAAAAAAATAGATTAGATGGATAGATGGTGAGGGAGCACAGGAGAGGAGAGGAAGAGGAGAGGAAGAGGAGAGGAAGAGGAAGAGGAGCGGAGAGGAAGAGGAGAGAAAGAGGAAGAGGAGAGGAGGGGAAGAGGAGAGAAAGAAAAAAAAGAAAAAAAAAGAAAAAAGAAAGAAAGAAAGAAAGAAAGAAAAAGAAAAAGAAAGAAAGAAAGAAAAGAAAGAAAAAGAAAAAGATGAGGGAGGGAGGAATGTAGGAAGATTAGATTGATAAGCAGAAAGAAGAAAAAAAAGAAAAAAAGCCTTATGATTCTCCAATAAGTAAAGCACCAGCCTGGTGTGACTGTTACTAGTTCACACTAGATGTAGTTCAGTGCGTTTTTTTTTTCTGCACAGTGTTTTCCATGTATTCCAATGGCCCTAGTTCACACCAGTGCAGTCAGTTACAGTCAGTTTCCAGTGAAGAAAAGAAAGTAGAACATGCTGCATTTTTTCTGCACAGTTCCATACTGGGACATAGCAAACTGCATCAAAACTGCACCGGAACTGCGTGGGGTGTGAACTGTAAGCCAAAGCTTATGCATCCGGAGTGCGTTTTTGTAGTGTGAACTGGCCCCTAAGTCTATCACACATTGGGGTTGATTCATTATAGCTGGAGCACTCAGAATCTGGAGCAGCTTTACACGGGAGCCAATCAGCTTCTAGCTTCAGCTTATTCAATGAAGCTTTGACCATAAAAGCTGGAAGCTGATTTGCAGCAGATTTTGCCCTCTCCAGTGTTAGTAAATCTCCTTGGGATTGTCGGGATGCGGCGGCACAAAGGTGGGCAATATTTCTGATGCCACTCAGTGACACTAATGAGGTTTTCCTGCTTATCCCATTTTAATAAATACGGCAAGCTGCTCACAGCAGAACATTAATTAGTTTTGACATTTTTGTCTTTCTATCCATCTGAGCGATCCTTCCGTCTTTATTTGTCAAACTGAGATTTACAAAAAAAAAAAAGGAAAAACAAACTACAAAGCGCTGAACCAAATCCAACAATTATTCCTTCCCCAAATCTCTTCTCTCTCTCTCTTCTCGCTCGATTAATTTAAGTCCGACTTCCAGCCTCCCCTTCAGTCTTGCACAGATGTACCGGCTCCTCTCCTGGACTGAAATGGCTTCCTCTGATGTCACTGAACACTGTGAGCTTCTCAAAATGTGCATTAGAAGCTGCAGCAAGTCAGATAGAGCTCCGCCTCATTTCCTGGCTGGAGGATATGAATCATCATCTAGCGCTTTCCTCCCCAGCCTGACTGTCCCTGGCCCCACCCCTTTCATTGTATTTTAGTCTTTTCAATCATGGAGGCTCAGCATCACATGCAAACGTTACCTAGGATGGTCTGCATGCAATAACAACCTCCCTGGGAACACCAACTCCTTCAGACTGACACCTATCCATCAAGGTATTTTGATATTTGCATAACTCCTCCCACTGGCTGTATCAGGACTGAGGCAAGGTGCTGTGATGTTTTCAGGAAGCTATGGACAGCACCTTGCCACCCCCCCTTACCTTGTGCTGCTGCTGGGATGAAGCTGGGAAGCATAAAGTGCAGAGTCTGGAGGAGGACCAGAGGAGGGCTGGAGTCAGCTGCCAGAATCGGCTGAAGGCTGAGACCAGGGGGTGCTGCAGCTGCACAGAGAGGTGCAGGATCTGATGGAGGAGTTCTGTCCTCTTCTATGCCGTGACTGCTGAGACAAGGTGAGGGCAGAGACAAGGGGGGGGGAGGCGCAAGGGTCACATGAAATGGCCTGGCTTACCGGATTCGGCCCGGGAGCCTTGTGCTTGACACATATGCTTTATGTGATCAAACTGCATTGTGGAGGATGATATCTGTGCAGGGCGGCATCTCTTTGCTTGGCAATTTCCAATTAATTGGAGGAATTTTTTGTGACAATACACCCCCGCCAATGTCCCAGAAAGACATAAGACACAACGCAGCATTCATCTTCCCGGCACCGGAGCTAAAGTGAACATAAGACTTTTATGTGGAGTCGGTCTTCAGGTGCGATGGTTTCCCTCCTCGGCCTCTACCACAGAAGAGATTCCAATTTACTTCCCCTGATCAAACCTCACCAAATATCTATTCAATTTAAATCTCTAAAACCCCTTCCTGCAGTCTGTTAGAGCGGTTTGTCCCATCGCAAGATAAGAAATTCAATTATGTTTCCCTTGGAAATAAAAGATTAAACATCCCGGACCCAAGGACTCGTTTCCAGCTTCTCAAGGTTTATTTAAAATAAATTTCGAAGAACATTTCTGAAGTTGAAAAAGTTTCAGTCC